GTAATGCGGCATTACGTATGTAAGCAATTAAGTAAGATGAACCTCCGTTGATACATACTCTGACGGCGCTATAATATTATGATATTAAATTAATATTTTAAAAAATTCAAATTAACCAAAGTAAAAGCAAAGTAAAGACATGTATCTTTAGGGGTGCTTATTGGAATGAGGACTCCTATTGGAATAGGGGCGTTTATTAATAAAAACACACTGGGAGGGGGGCGCTTATTCGAGAGGGGGCGCTTATTGGAAGGAGGGCACTAAATCGAATCGGTATTGGCACAGTAAACGGTAAATACTGCGTTCGTACAGTTCTTACATATGAGGTGTGGTGTGATATGGTATGGTGTGGTTTGGTGTAGTGTGGTGGGTNACTCAGACGAAGACCACTGTTTTTGTAATGCGGCATTACGTATGTAAGCAATTAAGTAAGATGAACCTCCATTGATACATACTCTGACGGCGCTATAATATTATGATATTAAATTAATATTTTAAAAATTCAAATTAAGCAAAGTAAAAGCAAAGTAAAAACATATATCTTTAGGGGCGCTTATTGGAATGGCGACTCCTATTGGAATAGGGGCGTTTATTAATAAAAACGCACTGGAAGGGGGGCGCTTATCCGAGAGGGGGCGCTTATTGGAGGGAGGGCACTAAATCGAATCGGTATTGGCACAGTAAACGGTAAATACTGCGTTCGTACAGTTCTTACATATGAGGTGTGGTGTGATATGGTATGGTGTGGTTTGGTGTAGTGTGGTGGGTTGGGGTGCAGTGCGGTGCAGTAGGGTGGGGTGAAATGAGCTGGGGTTGCGCGGGGTGGGTTGAGGTGTGGTGTGGTGTGGTAAGGAGTGGTGTGTGATGTATTGTGAAGTGTAAAAATATCTCCACAAATATAAATATTGTTCTACTTATATCAAGGACTACTTTTGTTACCACACTTTTCACATCAGGCCCTCCGTTTGTCATTGATGGACCACACAACCAAACCGTAAACGAAAGCGATCCACTGTTGCTAACATGTAATATTGGTGGAAATCCACCTGCGAATGTTTCTTGGTATCATGACAATAACAAAGAGCTAACATCAGAAAGCGTTCTGTTCATCAGTCACGCCAACAGAAGTCACGCAGGGAGTTATCGATGTATCGCTTCCAATGGGTTTGGCAAACCTGTTACCTCTCAAGCTAATGTGCTCGTCAATTGTAAGTTGTGGTTTTATAGATTATCGCTATTATCATACAGGCCCTACAAATGAAGTCGGAGAGAGCAAGACACATCGCTGAAGTTTTCACCGATTTTCGATATACCATTGCTACCAGCCAAAATCAATTTCCTTCCTTTTAAGTGTTGACAAAAAAATAGAGGTTTTCCAAGGTGGTTTGTTAGTCCTTCGCAAGGCCTTGTATGACACTTGCGTCTTGAGTTGACGGAGAAAAGGACGATATGGAGAGAAAGCCTCGTCTCTAATTGATCAAAAATTGATCAAAATGGGCCGGCTTTTTAACTGACACAATGTATTGTGTATATAAAGAAAAAGTCATTCGTTTTCATTTTTCTAACCAGATAAACCGACAGTTCTTTCCAGCAAGAAAAATGTCAATTCATGGATTGGACACGAGACTAGAATCCAGTGCCAGGCGGAGGGTTTTCCTCGGCCTACCATTCACTGGTCTGGGAAAGGCGTGGTGACCGACGTCATATTCTCTAAAACAACCTCACAGAGTACTTTAACTGTAACACCTACCAGCCAATCAGATTTCACCAGTTACTCGTGTTACGCATGGAATAATCTTGGACACGACACTAGAAGCTTCGAGCTCGTTCAACTTGGTAAAGTACTTCACTTACAAATGATTCATTTATTTCTTTTCGTGATGCATTTCCAGTCACAAGCAATGCCATTTTTATCAAACAGTAATCTTTAATTCTGAAAAAAATTAAACTTATCGTTAGAACTTGAGCAAAACTGTTAAATTTCTTTTATTCTTTCTTTTGATCCTCTTATTTGCTATAGCTATCCCTGATCCACCAATAATAACGCATTTGGAAATTGGAAGTTCTTTTATCCGAGTGTCTTGGAAAGCCCCTTTAAACAGTGTAAGAAAACCTGTGATTGGCTACCTGGTTCAAGCAGTTGACGACAACAATCCAAATAATGGGATCAACTGTTCTGATGTAGCAAACAATAGCTGCACCATATATGGGTTAAAACCCGACACTAGTTACCAGGTCCGAGTACAGGCCACCAACGCTGTAGGCTATGGCTTTTCAGCTTATGAAAAGGTTGTTACAAAGGATGAAGGTGATGCTTTTGTTGTACTCTCCCTATT